AGCTCAGGTCATGATCGCACAGTTCGTGAGTTCAAACCCCACATCGGGCTCCATGCTGACAGGATGGAGGCTGCTTGGGATTTTCTCTCTCTCCTTTCTCTCCCCCTTCCCCCGCTCACACACACACACACACACACACACACACACTCTCTCTCTCAAATAAATAAACATAAAATAAAATAAAATAAACACTTAAAAAAAAGACAAAGAGTGTAGATATGACAGAGTGTCCAGAAGACTTGGAAAGGAAAAGGAGTGTGAGTGTCTTGGAGCTTGGGGCTGTCGTTGAGGGTGGCGGCCTGGCATACAGCCCTCTCAACACTAGGAACCGGGCGAACCAGGGCCAGGGCTCAGGTGTCCTCCATAAGCTGCTTAGGCCCTGGAGTCAGGGGTCTTGGACAATGTTTGTGAGGACATTGTCCACCCGGCCACTCCTTAGATGTCACCTGCTGTGCTGGAAGACTCCAGAGAAGTCCCTAAGTCCCAGCACTTCTCAAGGACATTCGTTACCTGCACGAGAAGGCATGTGTAGGGTGGGGGTGCGGGTGCTAACAAGAATAGAAGTGGGAAAAGGAGCGAGAAAGCGGTTTTTCACGGAGTCTCTTACTGTTCCTGTCTCGCGTCGATACTCTAAACTTCATTGGTGTGTGAACTGAGTGTGGTTGTTTCTTTGCAGACCTTTAGCCTGAAGCCCTTCGTCTTCCTTTCATTCTGGGACCTTTGGCTTCCTCGTTTCCTCACGTACTTCGTCTCCGTTCTCCTTTTCCTCCGGTCTGGGACTCATGGCATCGACATGCAGGCTCCCCTGCGTCTCTGTTCTCCTGTGTTTCCTCCAGGAGAGCTCTCCATCGATCTCTCAGCACACGAATCTGCTCTTCAGCTGGGCCCACCGCCTGTTTCCAGTTCTGGTCATCAAAACAGGGACGAAAGCCAGCACTTCCAGAGCACTGAGTCTATACCAAGCACTGTTCTGGATGCCTCACATACGTTAATATATTTAACCCTCATAACAGCCCAGTGAGATAAGTGTTGTTATCGTCCTCATTTTAGAAGAGGAAGTGAAGCACAGAGAAGTTAGGTAACCTGTCCAATGTCACACAGCTGGGAAGCAGCAGGGCAGGGATTGGCACCAAGGCACCGGGGTCTGAACTCAGCCACTCTGCGGCCTTGCTCATTCTCCGTTTTGTATCACTTCTTTCAACACGCCTAACATCGATTTTCTTTCCTAACTTTTTGTTTTGAAGCAATTTGATTTATAGGGAAAAAAATGCAAGAATAGTAGAGTTTCTCAACCTCCCTCACCCAGATTGCCCTGTTGGCAGCATCCTGGGTAACCATAGTACCTTGATCAAGACCAGGGAATGAACACTGTTGTAACACTACTAACCAAACGAAAGACCTTATTCAAAGTCCACACGCTTCTTCACTAAGGTCCTTTTTGTGTCCCAGGGTACCGTGTTGCACTGAATGACCAGCTCCTCTGTCCTTCCTTGTTTTTCATGATCCAAATACATTTGTAGGGTGACCCCCAGTTGCCGGAGACCAGCTCCAGCAACCAGGGGCTCCCAAAGGAAGAACAGCGTCGGTGAAAATAAAACAAAACTAAAATAAAAAACTAGAAAATGCAAAACTAAAATAAAAACTAAAACTAAAATAAAAAACTAAAATAAAAACAAAAAATAAAAATGGACACAGACGACAGCAGTGTGTTGAACTGGCCGATATATTGCAGTAAACGTGGCCTTATATATGCTAGTGATTTCCTCATAGCATACGTCATCTATGTTTTTCTAACATCACCTAATTTTGTAAATGTTCCTACGTGTAAACAACCTTTAAGAAATAACATGGTGATTTTCCCCTAACTTTCCCACATACCCTTTGATTATAGATTAATTTCTTACATTATTCCATTATGCATCTGCGTTTATCTATAATCCAGAAAGCATTTGCTTTGCTGTTCTCGTGAAAGGCCCTCCATTTCTCAACGCCTCAAGTGGAACAGTTACAGGGACATGACCTCCTAACCACGTGAGGCCAGAAGAACAATGTGTCTGCCTCGGTCCGAGGTGCCAGGAAGGGGCCGAGAAAGCCTTAGAAACCCATGCCTCATACATTCTCAGAGAGACAATGCACCTAGGAACCAATGAACCGACTAGGTTCAGTCATCATCTGGAATGCCTCCTGGGGGCCAGGTGGGCCTAGGGGTTGAAGTCACCTGTGCCCAGAGATACACTCCTCGGTTGCCAGAGTGAGGCTTTCCATGTCTCTCCTTTACAGGCCCTCTTTGCTGGCAAAGGCACGAGGCTATCCTTCCTGTAAGTAGAGGAGTCTCCATAGGGGATGGCAAGGGCTAAACGTAAGGCCGCACGATTTCTTGCGGAAACTTATTTTCTTCCCTAATGGTTCTTTTCCCAGGAGGCCTGCCGAGGGCAATTCCCCAACAGACAATACCCCAGGTACTTTAATAAGGCCAAATTACCTAAAAGCGGGAGTACAAGAAGCTTCCCTGTCGGCGGGCCGCCCTGCAGTCACCAATCCGTCCACAGCTCGGGCCCTGCCACTCAGGCTGGGACAGCTCGGCCTCCAGCACCCAGTTACTCTGTACAACACTTCTCAACTGGCGTTTGTGTGGTTTCTTATGTTTGGGATGAGTGTGTGCATTCTTGGCAACAGTCCTACAGAAATGATGCTGAGATGTTCTCATCAGACCACGGAGATCACGATACTGATGTTTCACTACTAGCGATGTTGACCTTGACCCCCCGTTAAGGTGTGTCTGCTGGGTATCTCCACGTAAGGTTACTATATTTCCTATGTGTGTAATTAATATGTTGAAGAGATACTTTAAGACCATGAAAATCACATTTCTTCCCAACTCTCACCCACAATTGAAGCATCCACATCCACCGGTGGTTCAGGCCAACAACTCTCATTGCGGGGTGTACTCAGTTGGTGGTTTTCTGTTTTCGGCTTTCCTTCTCCATTTATTGATTGGATTTGTGCCGTAAGGATGAGCTTTCCCTAACCTTTCACTTGTTGATCTAATCGAGTACCTATCTAGGTTAGTGAGGATGTACAGATATAGATTTTATTCTCTGGCTTACAATTCAATATTTTCATTGTGTTTTTGCTGAACTTACTCAGCTTTTGCTGTAAGGAGCTCCTTCAGGCTGGCATCTGTTTTCTTCCAACAGCCCCTCTTTGGTTTTGTTTTTTTGTTTTTTTTTTTGTTTTTTAATTTTTTTTCAACGTTTATTTATTTTGGGGACAGAGAGAGACAGAGCATGAACAGGGGAGGGGCAGAGAGAGAGGGAGACACAGAATCGGAAACAGGCTCCAGGCTCTGAGCCATCAGCCCAGAGCACGACGCGGGGCTCGAACTCACGGACCGCGAGATCGTGACCTGGCTGAAGTCAGACGCTTAACTGACTGCGCCACCCAGGCGCCCCGCCCTCTTTGGTTTTGTCTGTGGCTTGGGGCACTCCTTCTCGCCTGCCTTTCAATCAGCCATTTCTCCAGGATCGCTGGTTCCTTCGGGAGGATGGTTCCATCCCTGGTCTTGGGAACCAAAAAGTCCCCATCCTGCCCCAGCTGCTCTGTTTTCAAATGGATTATCTCCCGAGAGAAGTGGATTGATAAAAGGACCAAAAGTCGGGAGGGAGGCCACCTGCCCGACTGGACTTGTGGCCAGAGCTGAGCGCTTGGAAAGGACTTTGGAGCAAGACTGAAAACAGAAGTCCATCAAACTTTGAGCCCTACAGCTGCAGCAGCTCCAAGGCCAGAAGCCCCAACAACACCTGCGCCTCCCAGGGCGCCTTCTGGGGCTCCACCGTCAAAATGCTGGCCCAGAAATCGATGCCTGCTTGGTAATCAGCTGGGATGCTGGAAAACAAATCCTCAAAGGGTTTCTGAAAACATTTCAACGCGAACACCAACTCCTACTTTTGAAGGAGGGCCCCTGCCCAAGCTGTGTAGAGCAAGGCCAACAGGCCCACAGCCACCACTGAGCTCAAAGCACACAGGCTCATTAAGTGACCATCGGCCCTATTACATCGGACCCATTACAGCCAAGCACAGTTCTTAAGATTACCATACAAGGGAGCATTCCATAGGCCCTCACACTCCTTCACTCTGCCCCTATAACTATGTCTAGGCCATGTCTTTGAAATATAAACCTCAAGGAGATCATTATTATCAGAAGGTGAACAAAATCAGGAAACTTTATTTGGAACTTGGGCAAATTAAAAATGTTAAGTGTTTTTTCCAAAATATTAATAAAAGGCTTTAGCCATCTGAGCAGATGACCATAACTTATTCCATCTGCCAGAAACACAATTGGCATAAAAAAATGTATTATAGCCAGTGAGTTTTGTATTGTACCTGATTCATGGCTACAATTTTGAAATGGTGGGGCGCTCAGGTGGCTCAGTCTGTTAAGTGTCTGATTCTTGATTTGGGCTCAGGTCATGATCTCACAGTTCATGAGACGGAGCCTCATGTCGGGCTCTGCGCTGACAGGGTGGAGGTGGCTTGGGATTCTCTCTCTCTCTCTCTCTCTCTCTCTCTCAAAATAAATAAATAAGCGATAAGATGAGAAAAGATGAGATGAGATGAGACGAGACGAGACGAGATAAGAAACTTTTGGAACGGAAGCTGTCAAGTCCTGTATGTATCTGTCTTTATACGTGTATATTGCAGTTGCCTGGTATTTTTCTACCTCTAGATGATATCACCAAGATTAATTTAAAAGAGATCTATTTAATTGGCTTAAAGAAAATTAAGTACTTATATAAATTAAGTATTCCTAAAATTCTCAGGTATATAATAGAAACTAACCCAAACGCTTTTCAGGTTCATGATCTGGAAAAATACTCAGTAGTGAAGCTAACTTAAGTTTGTTGGAGGCTGGCTGGTCCCAGGACCCAGAGGGGGGTCCACAGGACCAGCCAGGAGGGTCTTCGGCCTCTCTCAGGATGGAAATTAAACATGAGCCAAGAGGAAGTGAGAGCACAGTTTATTAAAGACACAAAAGAGTCTGGGAGACTCAGAAAGGAGAGGAGAGGGAGTCTCACCTTCGCTTGGGGCCTGGGGCACATGTCTTCTCAGTAACCCAGGAACAAAGATGAGCATCTAGGCATACTCCATAAGTCACTGGTGCCCTGGAGCCAGGGCTCCGGGTGCGTCGGTGGTCTTGGGAGAACGTTCCTGACACCTGCCCGGTCCCTCCTTGAGTGTTACCTGTTGTGCTGGAAGACTCCAAGGAGGTCACTACCTCCCTGACCTTCACGAGGGTATACGTTACCTGTACGAGAAGTCGTGTGTAGGGCCGGGGTACAGGTCCTAGAAAGAATAAAAGGGGGAAAGGGAGCAAAAATGAAGTTTTTCATGGGGTCCCTTCAGCTCCCCTGTGTCAGAAATGTCTTCTGAACGATCAGCATTGAATGTGATGTAGACACACAACTTTCACTCCACCTGGGCTCATTGGTGCCTAAGTGCAGGGCAGCTCTGTTACATTTGTCAGTAAGAAAAATAACTCAGGATGATGAAATTTTTGTAGGTAATCTGAACATAATTGTTGAGAACCCATGGATTAAATAGATGTAAGCGGGATAAAAGTTTTAAATAATTTCCCCAAAGCTTTTGGTAACCGGAAACCTTAAAGTTTTGCTAAGTTAAGTTAAATGATGGATAGTGACTGAATATCTAGATCATTTCCAAATAAAATAAAATATTGAAACGTTAGTTACTGAATATAGGTTTGTCCAATTTGGGTTCCTGTTACAGAGAATCTAACCATATTGGGTCTGTTAGTGCGCGTGTTTGCACCACACTGGAAATAACACCAATGCAGGACTGTCCTCTTGAAAACGTGCCCATAAACTCGCCCATCTGCAGAACCCTCACGTCGCAATCGCTGGTTCCTTGTTTTCACCAAAAATTAGGGCTCCTAAGGGTTCAACATTCTAATTAACATCTGTGATTAAAACTGCTACAAATAAGGGAAACATCTCCATATGCAGGGAAAGTGGGATGTGCATTTTTGGTAAAAGAACACATGAGGAGGGGCGCCTGGGGAGCTCCGCCAGCTGAGTGCCTGACTTCGGCTCAGGTCATGGTCTCACGGTTCATGGGTTTAACCCCCACAGGCTCCGTGCTGACAGTGTGGAGCCTGCTTGGGATTCTCTGTCTCTCTCTGCCCTCTCTCTGTCCCTCTGTCCCTCTCTCTCTGCCCCTCCCCAGCCCCAACTCTCTCTCTCTCTCAAAGATAAATAAATAAATATTTAAAAATAATAATAATAATAGTAAGTGAAATGGACAGAAAGTTGTAAAAGGTCTGTTGAAAAGGAATTTTGTGAGAGGAATTTTATGTGTGATGAACTGGAAGAGATTGAATGAATTTGTCCTCAGGGTTTGAAAAACAGCTTTAAGATCCATAGTATACTTCTGTAATTATGTAAACCTGGGACATAATTTTCTTTCATCTGCCAAAAGGCATCAGTCTGCTCCTCATAGGAGATTGTGAAATGGTTCCCTCTGGTGTTCCAAATTATTTGCAGAGAAAACAAGGATTCTATCTTTTGCCAAAATAATGTCCCATGTGTCAGCCCTTTGCTCACTAGAGGAGACCTAGTCCTCTGGATATGGAGAGGGCTAAGTCTTGGGGCGCCTGGGTGGCTCAGTCGGTTGGGCGTCTGACTTTGGCTCGGGTCATGATTTCACGGTTCATGAGTTCGAGCCCCGTGACAGGCTCTGTGCCGACAGCTCGGAGCCTCGAGCCTGCTTTGGATTCTGGGTCTCCCTCTCTCTCTGCGCCTCCCCTGCTCACGCTCTATCTCTCAAAACTAAATCAACGTTAAAAAAAATTTTTTTTAAGGGAGCTAAGTCTTGCTCAGGACTACGGAAGCTTCTGTGCTTGCCTGCGAAGCCTTACTCACTTTGGTTAGAGGGACAGCTAAACACTGTTTCACAGCGACCTGTGATTTTATTTGACTGTTTGAAGATCTTTTGATCTTTTTGACAAACTCTCCCAAATGCAGATTCCACGTGATGTCTTTTCGACCTTGAACTAACTTTGAGTTTTACCAGAGGGTCCCGGAAATATCTTAAGATGTGTTTTCTTTCCTTATAAAAGGGAGATCTTGAACTAATTCAGCTCATCTGATACGTTAAAATCCACAGGAAGCATTGTCAAATAAATCCTAAACCTTCTTTACGTTATGTCTGTGTAGGTATACGTTACAAATGTTCCGGAAATTATGTGAAATTTCTGGAAACCTGACCTGTCCCGATTTAATGCCATCGGTCATAATTTTAAAACGTATGTCACGGAAATAGGCCCCCTTGTCAGCTCCACCACAGCGAGCTCCCGCCAGATATTAGCAATGGGCGTTTAAGCCGTTCATCACCTGCAGACAGCTGCTGCTCGACTGCCATGCTTTTGCAGCCCGCAGGATCTAGAAGAAATTCACAGAACAGACTCTGGCGAGTGCTCTGGAGTACGTGTCCCCGAGGACTCCAGGATCGCACGGCTGAACTGGCTTTCAACACACTATTTCTCGGAAGCTACCTATGATTATAGCAATTCAGCAAAATCTTTGTGAAGAAAGCTAAAACAGTGACTTTTTCTCCCTACGCAATCCCTGCAGAATTCAGACACTCTTGACTACTTTTCCTTGTGGCAATACACGTACTTAGTTGCATACGTGCAACAGCCATCTGTTGTCCTTGTAGATGGCCCGCTGCCTCCGTGGCTAAGGTCCTACTGGAAAGGGTCATTCCTTCCTGCCCCCACCCGTTGAACTTCATGGTTCCCAGGGAGCCCACTCTGCTAGTTGGATTCTTTGACCAATTTGTGTTGCTTGTTCACCCTCACAACACCCTCACTGTGCAAGACACCCTCATCCTCGGGGCTAATCAAACACACTAATGGCAGCATTTAGACTCAGCTGGCAAAATTCATAGAGAGCCTCCAAATATCCTGGCCAGAGGCACGATCTCTAGTCCTGAATGTCAGGGTTATCCCTTTTGGAACTCAGAGTCTCTCACCCTTTGAGATACCCCAGGACACCCAGTGCACCTGGTTCCTGCTTCTTTAGACCCACAGCTAATAAAGGGAGATATGCTTTAACATTGGACGGTCTTAATTGCTTCTATTAGAAATAACCATGTTTTTTTTTTTTAATCTTTATTTATTTTTGATAGAGAGACAGAGCATGAGCAGGGGAGGGGGAGAGAGAGAGAGAGAGAGAGAGAGGGAGACCCAGAATCCAAAGCAGGCTCCAGGCTCCAAGCTGTCAGCACAGAGCCCGACGCAGGCCTCGAACTCACAGACCGTGAGATCATGAGCTGAGCCGAAGTCAGATGCTCAACCGACTGAGCCACCCAGACGCCCCAAAATAATCATGTTTTGAGAGAGCAATCTTTTTACAGAGATGAAGACCTTAAGCCTCACATCTTACAACCCAGAGATTCTTCTACCAGAAAACACAGCTGCTAGAAGACTCTCCAACCTCACTGGAAAGGCCCCTGTCAGGCACCACCAGCCAAATTCCAGGCAATAGACTCCGGGCCCACATGACGCACTGAAGACAGCACCGAACCCCGACTGACCCTGCACACCACCTGGGGGCCTGCGAGTAAAGACTTCCCAGATTTGAAGCAGGCAGCACCTCCTGACGCACTTCCCCCAGGTGACCGACCAGGAGTATGTACCCTTTTTTGCTTTGGCTCCTCGTTTTATTTTCTCTCTCTTTTGGGGGCAAGACAGGGCTCCTAGCCACGTTTCCTAATCTATTACAAAAAGGGAAAACCGTTCTTACTGGTGGATCTGTCACCAGGAACTCCTATGTGTTCACAAAGTCTGAGACCTCTCGTTCTTACTTGCAACTAATTTCTCTTTAGTCCCAAAGGCCACTGCTGATTATCCACATAGGCCCACGGATGTTCCCTGCAGGCGAGACTAGGCCCAGGAAGACCTTGGACACCTTGGTCCAGCTGCGCCCCGATCACAGCCTCGTGGCTCAGCCGAGTCCCTGCGTCTTTGCCCATCAGATAGCTTCCTGATCTAAGTGTGATCTCTCTGCCCACACGCAACAGACATACAAATGAGTTTTCACATCTTTGCAAGGTTTTTAGAAAAGACACCTTTAGGAAGAGATGGCCTCACACACAGAGTGTCATCCGGACTCCTCTGACCCATGGCTTGGAAGGATCAATCAGGAAATTGTGGCTAATGAACCTATCAATAACCAGGAGTCCTCAGCGCTCCCCCTGGTTTTGGTTTCGTGTGTGGCGGACAGTGGCATACGAATTTTAAGACAGCTGGCAAGTTGGAGGTCAATAGTTATTAGGCCATTTAACGGTCCCTGCTAACAGCTATAACAAACGAGATGCTTCCCATTGGCTTACCGCACTTAGGTGGAGGCATACCTGATTCAGTGTTGGCCTCCAGCGGGAGCGTCTTTCTTCCGTGGCTGGAACAGTGCTGATGAACACGTGGTCAGAAATCTCTCCCTGACATTGGGAGAACCGGCCAGCTCCACGGCCACAGCAGCGGCAGCCCAGCGGCCAAAGTACTCTTGGACGGCCACATAGCCTCGATTAGGATCTGCTCAATGAGCAAGGTGTTTGTGCGATAGCGAGTTCCACCCGCTGCAGGATAAATGCCTCTGGAGAAGTGGAAATTCACAGTCAGGGAACAACCAACCTCCCCGACGTTCCGTGGTCTTGATCTATTTAGCTGCCCGCCTTCCGGTCTGGGCCCCTCCTTTAGAATCACCCTGCAAACAGGATTCGTCGCGTTACTTTTAATTCTGCTTTGCATAACTATTTTTGAACTTCGTACCTGCCGCCCGTCAAGCCTCTGCAAACAGGGCCGTGGCCGCACTCTGCACCCGGTCCTAAGGGTCGACCTGCTGCCAGCACGTGCACTGCCCCTTTGCAGACCTAAGGTCGGTCTGCAGCAGAACTGACCTACTGTCCTTGAGACCTGCAGACCGCAGGCCTCGAGGAGTGAAGGCCCAGACTCTCCCGGAAGAGAAGGCCTGACCACATTTGGCAACAGCTGCCGCAGACGCCAGCCAGTCTGCCCGGGGTCATGTCCACACACGACTGCGGGCTGGGCACCTGCTTCTCCTGCACCCAGCCCCCCTCCCTCTTCCCACGCCCTCACCTGGACGGGGAAGATGGTCTTTGGGCCTTTAGTCTGTCCTCTTCCCAGGTCGCCAGCTTCCTGAATAAAGCAACCTTTCCTTCCACACATCACTTCTCTCTCGAGTGCTCATTGTCAAGCGGTGAGCAGCTGAACCTCACTGAGTTCGGAACCGGTTCTCTGTCCGGTAACAGGGCGACGCTGTCTCAGTGTTTGTGGGGGCAATGTCCATAGACTGCAGGGTCCACGTCTCCAGCCTGTGCACCCGTCCTCCGACAGGGCACAGGGCTTCCCAACCACCCAGGGATAAAACCACCAAATGCAGAAAAGTTGATCTGATTAACGATGCTTTCAAGAAAGATCTTGATGGGGCACCTGGGGGGCTCAGTCGGTTGAGCGTCTGACTTCGGCTCAGGTCCTGATCTCACAGTTTGTGAGTTTGAGCCCCGCGTCGGGCTCTGTGTTGACAGCTCGGAGCCTGGATCCTGCTTTGGATTCTGTGTCCCTCTCGCTCTCTGCCCCTCCCCGACTCACACTCTCACTCACTCTCTCTCGAAAATAAAATGAAACGTTAAAAAAAATTTAAAAAAAGAAAGAGCTTGATCAAAAGGGAGAAATGTTAAATAAAGGAAACCTCATTTCTTGTGTGTGATAGTGATTTTTTTAATTTAATTTTTTTTTTTAATTTACATCCAAGTTAGCATACAGTGCAACAATGATTTCCGGGGTAGATTCCTTTAGCCCATCCCCCCTCCCACAACCCCTCCAGTATCCCTCAGTTTGTTCTCATTATTTATGAGTCTCTTCTGTTTTGTCCCCTTCCCTGTTTTTATATTCTTTTTGTTTCCCTTCTCTTATGTTCATCTGTTTTGTCTCTTAAAGTCCTCATATGAGTGAAGTCATGTGATTTTTGTCTTTCTCTGACTAATTTCACTTAGCATAATACCCTCCAGTTCCATCCATGTAGTTGCAAATGGCAAGATTTCATTCTTTTTGGTTGCCCAGTAATACTCCATTGTATATATAGACCACATCTTCTTTATCCATTCATCCGTTGATGGACATTTGGGCTCTTTCCATACTTTGGCTATTGTCGATAGCGCTGCTATAAACATTGGGGTGCCTGTGTCCCTTTGAAACAGCACACCTGTATCCCTTGGATAAATGCCTAGTAGTGCGATTGCTTGGTCATAGGGTAGTTCTATTCTTAGTGTTTTGAGGAACCTCCATACTGTTTTCCAGAGTGGCTGCACCAGCTTTCATTCTCAAAGGAAACCTCATTTAAAATGGAGTCGAGTGGCACCTGGGTGGCTCCGTCGGTTAAGCGCTGACTTCAGCTCAGGTCATGATCTCGCGGTTCGTGGGTTCAAGCACCGTGTCGGGCTCTGTGTTGACCGCTCAGAGCCTGGAGCCTGCTTTGGATTCTGTGTCTCCCTCTCTCTCTCTGCCCCTCCCCCACTTGTGCTCCGTTTCTGTCTCTCAAAAATAAATAAACATTAAAAAAAAATTTTTTTTAATAAAATGGAGTCAAGGAGCCCAGAAGGGGGGCCGCTCATGCCCACCCCTCCATGCTGCAGCCTGCGAGACGGCGCAGGAGGAAGATAATCCTGACAGGAGAGAACGTTTCTCACACCGGGTCCGCGTCTTGCCTTTAGAAAAAGGTGGAAGGTCTCGCTGCGCCCAAAAACCACACACTGACCTCCACCAAGAGCCACCAGACACTGTGCAACCTGGGGCTCGTGTTCCCCCCCAGTAACCGTCTGCCCACAGCAGCCCTGCCTGATTTGCCCTGAGCCCTGATGGCAGCGGACTTCCCTTCACTCTTGGACCTGCCTGCGGTTCGCCACAGCCCTCATGCCCCAGGTCACAATTCCTCTGCTTTACCAAATAAAGTCCTTTTGCTAAAATAACTGTCTATTTTATTTTTAAGATTGACAAGCGCAAGCCCAATATTCAAATTCGGTTCCTTACAGTCCTTCCCTCCTGCTCAGGGCTCGTATCTTTAATTACGTTAGTCGCGCTTTCTTTTTGATGTTATGGGTCGATGTCACACACTGACTCAACCGGGTGCTGTTTAAAGTCCCCTCCACTGCGGCCATTCCCTGGGGATCCTCCAGCCCTGTGGCAGCTTCCATCCAACCCCCCCAATCTGCCAAGGCAGGTGCAGAAGTGGGGGCTCAGGTTGGAGGGGGTGTCCTTCTGGAGTCGGCCTCTCCACACCAGAGAGCTGGGGAACAACAGAGTCACAGCACACAGTGAGGCTGCACACACGGTGTGGCTTTCCACGACGTCAGCTCCGTTCGGTCCTAAAGCGGGTTCAGGATGCCAAACTCAGTGATATATTCCACCGCGTGCTTAACTTGGCTTCTTATGCAGCACACGGAGCAGAACATAAGTCACACGACACAGAAACACCAAGGGTGGGAAGTCAGTCTGTGGGTGTGAAGCCGAGATCCGGCCACAGTCGGGTCCGGATCAGCTCTCGGCACCCACTGCATGTTACGATCAGGCTGCAGAGGGTCTAGTTCTGTTCGGAGATCCATCGGGCAGACCCTTCGGCAGCAGCCGCCTCTTTGAAGTGGTCAGACATAGAGGGGTTGTGTCTGAAGAGCCTGACAGTTTACTGCAAAAACCATTCCTTTTTTAGGGGCACCTGGGTGGCTCAGTGGGTTAAGTGGCCGACTTCAGCTCAGGTCATGAACTCGCAGCCCGTGAGTTCGAGTCCCACGTCCGGCCCTGTGCTGACAGCTCAGAGCCTGGAGTCTGCTTCGGATTCTGTGTCTCCCTCTCTGTGCCCCTCCCCCTCTCACACTCTGTGTCTGTCTCTCAAAAATAAAACAAATAAACATTAAAAGAAATTTTTTTAATTGTTCCTTTTTTAAAGGGATCTAATCGGTCTTGGGCCCCTGCAGACCCCCTCTGGTCCTGCTGGCCGTCAGTTCTGGGGCGTCATCAGCTGGTGCTGGTCTCACAGCTGCGGTGGCCTAACTACTTGCATCACTGTTGGACACGGGCCCCTGCTTGACACGAGTGACTCCATCTTGCTCTCTACAAACACCTTGCACTGTTTCACCATCTGAACCAAGCGTGGCGTTTTCTTCTCTGTCCCTTTCTCCCTGGGCTGCCCCCAGTCTCTCTGCTCCTGGGGAGCCCCGGGTCTTCCCCCCCCCAGAAGACCTCTGGGAAGCAGCGTGATCTGCTTCTTACTCTGTGTGGGTGCAGGCCTGGTCATGTCAAAATCCTGCTCCTCTGTGCCCTTTTCAAGGAGAGAGACTGTGGGTGTTTGCTGAAGCTGAAAGCTGCCCCCTCCGCTGGACACCCAGAAACCGGTGCCGCCCTCCCCACCCCTCCTCAGGCCTCCAGAGGGCAGAGCCACAGAGACAAGGGGAAAGACTTCAAAGCAAACACACAAACAACTGTTGCAATGGTTGACGCTGATCCTGGAGCCAGTACCCAAGTCTCACGGCAGCCGGAAGCCAGTAGACAAAGGTTCCCTGTGTCTGAGCAGGTTCTGAGGGGCAGGAATCCATCCCAGCGGCCAGGGTTTCCACCTCGCCGGCCCCAAGGGGGCCCCTAGCCAGGAAGTCACGTGGGCTGGTAATCAGAAACAGAACAACAAACTGAAGCAACAGAATCCCTTGTTTTTAGTGACTAAGTTGTTTTCCCCCCAAGGACTTCCCCATGTCCTAGTACTTAGAACCTCTTTGGATGTGAACCCAGGAGTCTTAGTTCCATTTCTTTAAGGCTTAGCTTACTGAGGGAAAGGATTAACTCCCAAATGAGAATTTCTCCTGTATACTGGATATTGGAAAAGGGTTTACATTCAATTCCGGGCATTTTGAACGCTGTTCTAGAATCTGAGCTTCTTCGTGCTGCCCTGAGGTCTAAAAGCAGAACTTCTGGGGCACCTGGGTAGCTCAGTTGTTCGGCTCTCGATCCCAGGGTCCTGAGTTGGGGACCTGGGTTGGGCTCCACACTGGACATGAAGCCTACTTAAAAGTAAATACATACAAATTAAAAATTAATATTGCAACTTCTGTTTCAATGCTCTGGATAAGGACCAGAGGAAACATTTTCTAAAGGCCTGAGGTACAAGGAAAGCCGTTTGCATTTCTAAGTCAGCACGGCTGCACGCAAACTGTGTTCAGACCAAAAGCCTGATTTAAGGCCTGCCGTGCGAGCATCGTACACCAGCTTTGGGAATGTGTGGCCTACAGGAAAGCCTTCTTGTCCTGAATGAGATTTGGGGGGTGATGGTGGGGTTCGTGGGGTCTGGAGCCAATGGCCAGGAAAAAATTCTTAAAGGCGTCTTTGGTGCAAAAAGGTGATTTTTTTAAAGCACGGGGGACAGGACCTGGGGGCAGAAAGAGCTGTGTGTATTTGGGAGCTGGGGAGAGTTAAAGTCCAGGGGGAGTTTCCAGTGAGATTTTCATATGCTAAAGACAACTCAGGATCCCAGAGGCCTGGCTATTGTCAGGCTAAGGTGGTTTGTCCCCCTAGCAAAGCATTAGCATTAAGACAGTAGGAAATTCCTGGAGGAATGTTCTACTCCGCAGGCCTCAAGTGTTGGTCAATGGGCTGCCGGTGATATGGAAATTGAGTTCTATCCGCCATTTCCTTCTGCCTTTGTTCCCCACATCACTTAAGACATCGATCAATGCCCCTGTTCCCTACAATTCTTGATGTTATAACCCGTGGTTCCTGCCTGGATGCTGATCAGAAATCTCTCTGAATTTTTACAAGATGTGAGACAGAGAACCCTGTGAAATATCTGTCCCTCCTCCCGAGCACTTCCTTCCCGGTGAAATCTGTCCCTCTTCCGGAGCACTTCCTTCCCCGTGAGGCATGCTTCCTGGACAGCTGGCCTAACCCGGGCTGGATGAAACGCTTTCTTCCCTGCAGAAGATTCTAAAACGCTTGTTCACTTTGTGTCAACAATAACACGGTGAACAATAACTTGGAGGGGGGGTGGCAGGAAGGGAACTGGGGCCCAGAATACAATGTAAGTCTAGGGAGCAGACAGCTCTTGCCTAGGTCGGGGATTTAGGAAGCAAGGGCTCTGACACCAGCAGCCCTGGGAGAGTACCTACAGGGCTGATTTTGTGGGGAAGGTCTGGGCCCATCCCCAGCAGGGGCAGCCTGGTCGGCCATGGGGTCGGCATCAGGTCTAAGTGGTTGAA